ATTTGTACTTGTCAATTACATGAAGTACACCGAGAAAACCATTGCAGTGGCAGTGAGGCCGGAAAAGACACATGAAATCAAAATTAATGCTTCTGCGATTGCGCCCACTAGTTTCACACATCGAGCTGCTTGGGCTTGAAGCATCTGTATTTTCAGTTCACCTGGATCCTCCCAACGTCCTTGTCTGGCCAAAGCAAGTGTTTCATCCGGACAGGGCATTGTGGGGCACATTTCCATCTGTAGGTGACCCTCACCACCTCTGCAAGCCTCTCCCAGGCAATCACGTGTTCTCACACGGCGCTGATATTCGGAAACACCACAGCTTGGGCTACATTCAGACCATGGAGACCACTGAGCCCATTTCCCTCTAATCAGTTCACATTGATCACCGTAGGCCTCATCTGGACAATTGCAGTAGGTTTCCTATGGGGAGAAGACGTTAGTTAGAAGATGGAAGTGATGACTGGAGTTATCGAGAAAAGGTAAACAAAACATCATGGATTTGTAGTGCAAAGCACCGTGGATGAATTGATCGGAATCTTGTATCGAGTGGTCAGTGCAAACCACAATGGTGGGTCTACGTCAGGTCTTGAAAATGGGTACCATTTAGACGGAGCATCATACACGAGTACTATACCATAGGTCATCACCACGCCAAAAGCCAACTTACGAGGAAAACGACAATGGCCTCATTATGGAAAGTGGCGACACTCAAGGACTGTTCGAGCACACCTTACTGAGTATACTTAATATATGAACAGGCCGTAATTCCACACAGGTTGAATGAAAGTGGGAAGTGGTCTATGCGTAACGCGAACATAAATTTACGGTTATTCCATACTGAAAGCAAGCTGAATAGCACTGATCAAAGTATCAAAAGAAACTCATTGTAATGGATGATGATACGGTGGTTGCAGACTTAACGATCGACAACATGCTTCGTGGTACACTTTTGCATTACTTTAGTAAGCTGTAGCAACCATTCCCTTCGAACGAATAAAAGGCACCTTGCGTATCGTGCTCAGAAAACTTGCATACGGAGAGTCCAAGATCTGATACACTCAGTGAGGCAGAACCAGAAGGTAAAAGCATGAGGAATTTTCGTTGAGTGCTTGACCGATATGGTCACAAGTTGCCAGGGTCATAAGTTGTGGAGCGAAC